CACAACTCCCAATGAGTTCAATTAAAAACCCATTCTAAAAACTACACAATTCATGCCCTTGATGTAATGCTTCTGATGTTGTATGGTATTTAAATGGATAATTTAGCATGTAGTATTAGTGTGTGTACTCCCCAAGTGTAGAACATTTGTCAAAGTAGGAAGGCTGTATTTCATTGCTAAGTTCTCTGTAATAGATCTCTTGGTAATATTCATAAGAAAATCTGCAGAAGTATATCTTGCTGAAACTAACAGTAACTTGATCCTATTAGCAGCAATGTCTATTTGTAGTTCAAATGCCTGTTCAAATACAATATCTTGACAGTTGTTATATTTGTGTTTAAATGTTGTGCTGGGTTTATACTTTTGTCATTCTCTCTTTCTCTTATTTTTGTTTCAGTTTTTTGGAGGCACAATTAGTTGAACTGCTATGGATAATGAGCCTTGTAAATGTACAGATGTGATGTAGGCTCGGTTCAGTTGTGATTGATTGGGAAATGTGTCTGTGTAATTGTGCCTCTGTTTTTCTTATTTTTTAAAATCCTTTTTCTCACAGCATTGTATCAGCTTGGAGTTGGTACCACAGTTTTGCGGTTTTGGCTAGATGGAGTACAGCTACGGCCAGAAGTGACATTACGTAGCAGTTTTGGAGAATGATGGTAAGGTAAGGGTTAGCTAAAATGCTACAGTTGTCCCCGACGCGACTCGAACATGCCACTTTTGGGCCGTAGCTGTACTCAATCTAGCCACAACCCAGTTTTGCTTGTGACCATGAGTCTAATTCAATTATTGATTTTAATATCAAAATAATAAAAAAACAGAAACCACAGTTTGCCTCGTGTTTTACCATTGTATTTTTGTTTTGTTTAGGATATTAATGTATTTGTATGATTGACACAGACACACATTCATGACCTACAGTACGTCTTTCATAGTTGAAATTCAGTCCAGACATATCTGCCATAACATTGCATAAGCATTGATGTTAGAGGCTGAATCATAATCACATTCTAGTTCTGTGGGCTGACTGACCTACTGTACAGACAAACATGTTCAAATAGCCTGGCAGCTTCACTTTGCATTGTGATTCACACTTCCTTTTTCTGCCACTAACCGTTCTGTCACCTTAGTATATTTATTTTTCATATTTATTGTCTTGGATGGATGCCAGTATCATCTCAGATCTTGCTGGTCAGAGTCAGCATGACATGACACTTTTTTTAAAAACTCAAACGATAGCAAACAAACGCAATGGTCAAGTTGTTTATAATTATGTCACTCACACAAAGCGCTTACAATGGTTGAGATGGATGGGGACATGCCTATTAGCAAGGAGTCCTTAGGGCAGGGGTTCACACCCCTTGTTGGTGGAGAGAATTCTGCAGGTTTAAAGCTAATTTTCTTGCAATTCTATAAATCTTTCAGTGTATTCATGTAATATGAGTGACAAAGAAACTACAACAATATCTATGGCCTAAAAAAACTACATTAAAAAAAACATTACCTGTCATAGGCTAGTTGATCTGGACATTTCTGACAAGTTATAAATAGCTCTCTAAGGTATGCAATGACTAACATGACGAGGAACTGATGATGCACTACCCAATTTCGAAATTGCACCTTGTGCATTCTACTATTAAACTTTCAAGAGTAAGTTTAAAGCCGGACTGAGTTCCCTAGGGTTCCATAGTTTGGGAACCACTGACTTAGGTAATTGTATTAGAGTTGATTTACTACAACTCTACATTTTCAATGAGTTTCATGGAATTACATAGATACACACGACGAGGCGTGGCTTAACGTGACCACGCCCCCGAGTGGGGTACTCCCGTTACTCCCATGTTAAATTGCCTACTTTACTCAACCAGACAATGGCTGGTATTCTTTTTTTTAAATTATGCTATAAACATTTGTTATGCTTGGTTGGTCGTTTTTAAAATACTTCCATGTCGTCTTAATCAACAAACAACATAATACCTAAAAACACTGATTCTAAACGTAGAAATGTTAGCATGAACAGAGACTGTCGCATGGAATGTAGCTAACGTTATGTCACTAATCAGTCAAAGTAATGTATTGCCATCGCACTGCCCTATCCCATCTGGACAAGAGGAATACCTATGTAAGAATGCTGTTCATTGACTACAGCTCAGCCTTCAACACCATAGTACCCTCCAAGCTCATCATTAAACTCTGGGCCCTGGGTTTGAACCCCACCCTGTGCAACTGGGTCCTGGACTTCCTGACGGGCCGCCCCCAGTTGGTGAAGGTAGGAAACAACACCACCACTACGCTCATCCTCAACACAGGGGGCCCACAAGGGTGCGTGCTCAGCCCCCTCCTGTACTCCCTGTTCACCCATGACTGCGTGGCCAAGCACACCTGCAACGCAATCATCAAGTTTGCAGATGACACAACAGTAGTCAGCCTAATTACCAACAATGACGAGACTGCCTACAGGGAGGAGGTGAGGGCACTGGCGGAGTGGTGCCAGGAAAATAACCTCTCCCTCAACAAAACGAAGGAGCTGATTGTGGACATCGGGAGACAGCAGAGGGAGCACGCCCACATCCACATCGACGGGACCGCAGTGGAGAAGGTGAGAAGCTTCAAGTTCCTCGGTGTACACATCACTGACAATCTGAAATGGTCCACCCACACAGTGTGGTGAAGAAGGTGCAATAGCGCCTCTTCAACCTCAGGAGGCTGAAGAAATTCAGCTTGGCCCCTAATACCCTCACAAACGTTTACAGATGCACAATTGAGAGCATCCTGTCGGGCTGTATCACTGCCTGGTACGGCAAATGCACCGCCCGCAACCGCAAGGCTCTCCAGAGGGTGGTGCGGTCTGCCCACCGCATCACCGGTGGCACACTGCCTGCACTCCAGGACACCTATAGCACAAGATGTCACAGGAACATCAACCACCCGAGCCACGGCCTGTTCACCCCCCTATCATCCAGAAGGCGAGGTCAGTACAGGTGCATCAAAGCTGGGACCGAGAGACTGAAAAACAGCTTCTATCTCAAGGCCATCAGACTGTTAATAGCCATCACTAGCCGGCCTCCACCCAGTACCCTGCCCTGAATTTAGTCACTGTCACTAGCCGGCTACCACCCGCTGCCCTATGTACATAGACATGGAATCACTGGTCACTTTTTAATAATGGAACACTGGTCACTTTAATAATGTTTACATACTGTTTTACTCATTTCATATGTATATACTGTATTTTAGTAAATCCCACTGCGACATTGCTCATCCTAATATTTATATATTTCTTAATTTGATAATTTTTTCTTTGAGATTTCTGTGTATTGTTGTGAATTGTTAGCTACTACTGCATTGTTGGAGCTAGGAACACAAGCATTTTGCTACACCCGCAATAACATCAGCTAAATATGTCTATGTGACCAATACAATTGTATTTTATTTGAAGTAGGTATAGATATCGCCGTAGGCTACTTTGGGCCATTTGGTAGGGTTGTCTGCACAGCTGGTCTCCGACAAGTTGAAAGGACATATAGGCAAGCGAACAAGAGTCAACTTTTCTAAATACCTAGACAGTTCAAGGGTAGGCAAAGACTGGAAGTAGTTACGCGGCATATCTAAGACTAGCGAATTTATCTCGCTAGCCAGCCAGCTCACTAGGAAAAAACTAGAGGTTTACAAACAGTGAAGTAAGTATAATGCGACAGCTTTACTAGCTTTATGCCGCATTCGTAACAACTGGGAACTCGGAACTGGGAAATCTCAGACTTCCGTGCTTTCAAAACTGGAAACTCTGAAAAAACAAGCTCCGAATGGGAAAAATAGATTTGAACGGTCATCCAACTCGGGACTCTTTCTAGAGCTCCGACTTGAAGATCGCTTACGTCATGATTTGACCTAGTATTTTCCCAGTTGTTTTGAACGCAGCATTATTATCAGGGTTAGCAGGTCGGGTAACACATTAGTGGCAGAATATGTATCATGCAAATCATTTGTTGTTGTGAGAGTGAAGTATGTTAATAAAGACACGTGACGCTGCTGAAAACGTTTATTGAAACGACAGTGTCAGTAGTTTGTTTAGGACAGGGGTCATCAACTAGATTAAGCCGCAGGCAGATTTTTTCTTGAGTGGATAGTTGGGGGGCCGGAACATAATTACAAATAATTTGTAGACTGCAAATAAACCGCAAGAAGCCCAAACAGATATAATGTTTGACTAAAACATGATCATTTCAAACCTTGCTTACATTTGTACACAATCATGTCTTGTCTTTATTATTCGTGGGAATACTTGGGAAAATATTTCTTAAATTAAAAAACCACTTGGAGCTGATTTCATGTTGTTGTTTTTTTTACAGTCTTTTATGCCCAACAATGAAAATTACACACACATTTTATTTCTCCAATTTTTTTATTTATTTTTTTTGCTCAGAAAACTTGGGGGCCAAATAAAGCCGCCTGCGGGCCAAATTCGGCCCCTGGGCCGCCAGTTGGGGAACCCTGGTTAGGATGACGCCAAAGTTAGGCTAATTACATGGGAGTACCCTACGGCTGTACCCTACTCGGGGGCGTGGTCACGTTAAACCACGCCATGTGTATCTATAGGCCTATAGCAGTGTTTCCCAACCTTGGTCCTCGAGTACTTTCAATAGTACACATTTTTATTGTAACAAGCACACCTGATTCAACTATTCATCAAGCCCTCAATGAGTTGAATGAGGTGTGCTTGTCAAGGGCTACAACGAAACTGTGCACTGTTTGGGGTACTCGAGGACCAGGGATGGAAAACACTGGCCTATAGAACAATTTTAATAGGATCTCTATGTCTAGTTTGCTATTTATGATCACTCAAATAAGTACCTTTTCATATATAGACTATGCACTGGTGTGTATGCTATATATTATTTATTAGATGTGTCCTTTAGTTATTTCGTCCGATTTATATTGAATGAACACGGTCAACGTTTTCATAAAACAACGCGCTTCAAGTAGCGCGCGCTTTTTGGATTAATGGCTTAGTTGCCGTACAAAAACAACAGAAATGGCGTCTTCCCAGGATGTCCACGTCCGTATTTGTGGACAAGAAATAATCAAATATGATCTCGAAATTAAAGCTCTCATTCAGGTACCTACATCTTAACAACTTTTTACATATTTTATTTATCAGCGTTACTTTGTGTCATTTCAATTTGCAGTTGTGAGCCGAACTAGTGTATATTTGGCCAGCTAGCTAATCTAGTCTAGTTCATTTTGGCTGGTCAGCTAACTAGCTAATTGCGGAGAGCAAGCGATGCAATATAACCTGTTTACCGAATGTGGATTATATTGAATGGAAAGTTACATAAAACAACTATCTTATCTTGATTAGGATATTAGAGAATGTCCGGGGCCACAAAGTGTGCTGATGGATTTCAACTCCAAAGTAAAAGAGAAATTCAATCAACTGCGACAGAGAATCCAGGTAGTTATGTAAATCAATGCATTAGTTAAACTTATTTTAGATCGCATTTATTGTGATTAGCTAGCTATGTAAAACTCAACTGAACTATACATTAAATTCACAGAATATGGAACAAATGGCTAAGGAACAAGACAGAGAGACAGACAAACAAGACATCTTGAGTGAGACAGAGAGTCATCGCAGGCAGAATCTGAGGTGAGACTGGGATCCAGATTCCTATTTAACATGCCATTGACCTCACACCTTTTGGAATTCCCTGACTTAATATTTTAATAATATTCCCATCTACAGTAACCAGACAGCTTGGAGGAAGGCAAACCTGGCATGTAAACTGTCCATTGACAACCTTGAGAAAGAGGAACTTCTGAATGGTGAAGACTCTACTGTGAGACAGCGGTGAGTAGTGCTCTTCTCTTCTTCAGGCACAGCTGCTAGCTATTTTATTAATCCTCTATATGTCTAGTTTCTTATTCCTACAATCATTATTCTAAACAGCCCTCTACACTTTTACTCTGAAAAATCATATTTTCAACAAACCTAATGTACAGGGTGAAAGAGACCCCTCCAACAGGGTGACAGGGACAGAATTGCATTGAATTTAATTATAGTGTGTGTGTTCTCTCAGGAAGGCAACTAAGGAGAGTCTGGTCCAGACGTCTGGTGACATCACAGAGAGCCTGATGAGCATCAGTCGTATGATGGCCCAGTCGGTGTCTCAGAGCGAGGAGACCATCGGCACTCTGGGTAAGAGACTAAACATTCAGGAAGGGAGAACAGTCACAAAATGGGTGCCAGTGGTTAGGGCTTGAAGACACATAAGATACGATAACTTTGTCCATTTACTTGGAAAAAAAAAGTTTGCATACAAAGTACACAATCAATACACTAATACAAAAAATGCAATACAAAAATGGCTGTAAAGTGAGAACACATATTCACATAGCCTAGTCCCTTTGGTATACTGTCCTCAGTGTACCTGGGTGGTTCCAGACTTCGTCCACAAGGCTAGAACACTTTGCATTTCCAGCACCTATTCGAATTCACTCTCTTATTAATCTAGGATAAATTACTGTAAAACTTCAATTAAACGCTGAGTCTCAAATAGCCGCCTGTCCCTTTTAATATCCAGGCAACGGCACACATTTCAGCAAATAATCATCTGTTTCAAATAAATGCTGTCTAAATGAATTGTTAACGAGGTTGCTATGAATTAACATCAATTGTTTCAGATGTTTAATCTTTGATTTGTTACATTAAATAATTCAATAGGGACTCAGAAATTATGTAAATCATCAGTTTTTATCGCCAGTAAGAAACTGCTAGCCATTGGCTGCTAACAGCTGAGAACTGCTAGCTAAGTGTCAAGCACAAAAACAGATAACAACTTCGGGAGTACAGACCCCCAGAAATCGGCTGATCGCCCTCTAGTGGCGAAAGTAATAATTAACCGAAAATGCAGTCAAGGAGGAGAATAATTATTCTGTCAAGGAAACCGAAATAGAGGACTTTTTGAATTTATACAGATTACAACTCTTCATTTCCGACTAATTGAAAATGAAACTTTGTTTAAAGTATCGCCCTTTCTTAAACAAGCCATACAAAGCTGGTTACAACTTCAATTTTATCCTCCAAAAAAGATAGAACAAATATTATGGTTAAACTCAAATATACTGATTAATAAAAAAACACTCTTAATGGATTTAATTTTTTTAATGGTATTATATTTATTAATGATATTATGAATAGAAACGGTAGAGTTATGTCACATATGCAGCTATCGAAAATATATGGGAACGTCTGCTCAATCCAAAGTTACAACCAACTGATTGCAGCATTACCACGAAAATGGAGGAGGCAAGTGGAAAAGGGAGAAGGTAGGGAACTTATTTGTTTACCATATATTAAAGATACAAATTGGCTGAAAAGGATTGGCATCAATAGAAAAATATACCAGTTTCATTTGAGGACAAATGTTGACAGCTGCACCATACAGGTTGCAAAATAAATGGGAAGAGATTTTCAATGTACCGATTCCATGGCACATGGTATATGAACTGATACAAAAAACAACACTTGATTCAACACTGAGTTTTTCAATTTAAATTATTATACAAAATTATTGCCACCAACAGAATGCTATACTATATGGGGCATGCAACAATCTCAGCTATGTCGATTTTGCTGCGAAGAGACAGAATCACTAGATCATTTATTCTTGTATTGCCACCTATGTAGCTTGTTTCTGGTCACAGGTTCAGGAATGGCAAAAAAATTCACAACATTCACTTAAAATTAACCTTACAAATAGCAGTGTTGGGTGATTTGGAAAGCCTTAGTCAGTCAATAAATAATATAATAATACTCGTAGGAAAGGTTTTCATCTTTAGCTCACAATCTGTGGATACTATGTGATTAGAAAGGTTCAAAATTCATGTAAAACATCACAGCACATTTGAAAAATATATGGCACATGGAAACCAAACAAGGGTGGTCTATGGTGATAGGTGGGATGGGCGGAGAGTGGCTGAGGGGTGGGATTAAAGAGTTTGTTTGATAATGTATTATTGTTATGGGATTGCTTTGATTAAAAGTACCATGTATGTAAAATGTATGTACACTACCGGTCAAGTTTTAGAACACCTACTCATTCAAGGGTTTTTCTTTATTTTTACTATATTCTACTTTGTAGAATAATAGTGAAGACATCACAACTATGAAATAACACATATGGAATCATGTAGTAACCAAAAAAGTGTTAAACAAATCAAAATGTTATTTGTCATTCTTCAAAGTAGCTACCCTTTGCCTTGATGACAGCTTTGCACACTCTTGGCATTCTCTCAACCAGCTTCACCTGGAATGCTTTTCCAACAATCTTGAAGGAGTTCCCACGTATGCTGAGCACTTGTTGGCTGCTTTTCCTTCACTCTGTGGTCCGACTCATCCCAAACCATCTCAATTTGGTTGAGGTCTGGGGATTGTGGAGGCCAGGTCATCTGATGCAGCACTCCATCACTCTCCTTCTTGGTAAAATAGCCCTTATACAGCCTGAAGGTGTGTTGGGTCATTGTCCTGTTGGAAAAACAAATGATAGTCCCACTAAGCCCAAACCAGATGGAATGGCATATCGCTGCAGAATGCTGTGGTAGCCATGCTGGTTAAGTGTGCCTTGAATTCTAAATCAATCACAGTGTCACCAGCAAAGCACCACCACACCGTAACACCACCTCCTCCATGCTTTACGGCGGGAAATACACATGCGGAGATCATCCGTTCACCCACACCGTGTCTCACAAAGACACGGCGGTTGGAACCAAGAATCTCAAATTTGGACTCCAGACCAAAGGACACATTTCCACCGGTCTAATGTCCATTGCTTGTGTTTCTTGGCCCAAGCAAGTCTCTTCTTATTGGTGTCCTTAAGTAGTGGTTTCTTTGCAGCAATTCAACCATGATGGCCTGATTCACGCAGTCTCCTCTGAACAGTTGATGTTGAGATGTGTCTGTTACTTGAACTCTGAAGCATTTATTTGGGCTGTAATTTCTGAGGCTGGTTACTCTAATGAACTTATCCTCTGCAGCAGAGGTAACTCTGGGTCTTCCATTCCTGTGGCGGTCCTCATGAGAGCCAGTTTAATCATACCGCTTTATGGTTTTTGTGACTGCACTTGAAGAAACTTTCGAAGTTCTTGAAATGTTTCGTATTGAGTGACCTTCATGTCTTAAAGTAATGATGGACTGTCATTTCTTTGTTTATTTGAGCTGTTCTTGCCATAATATGGACTTGGTCTTTTACCAAAAAGGGCTATCTTCTGTATATCCCCCCTACCTTGTCACAACACAACTGATTGGCTCAAACGCATTAAGAAGGAAATACATTCCAAAATTAACTTTTAAGAAGGCACACCTGTTATTTGAAATGCATTCTAGGTGACTACCTCATGAAGCTGGTTGAGAGAATGCCAAGAGTGTGCAAAGCTGTCAAGGCAAAGGGTGGCTATTTGAAGAATCTCAAATATAAAATATATTTTGATTTGTTTAACACTTTTTTTGGTTACTACATGATTCCATATGTGTTATTTCATAGTTTTGATGTCTTCTACAATGTAGAAAATAGTAAAAATAAAGAAAAACCCTTGAATGAGTAGGTGTTCTGAAAGATGTGTCCTCTGAAGAGGGGGGGGGGGTGAATGGATTAATAAAAAATAAACGTGACGCAGTGTGTAAATTAACACATTAGTGCAGGAAATGAAGAAATTGATTAATATGCTGGAAGTGAATGCTGGAATTAAACAATTAACTATGCAAATTAGCAAAAGCTGTGTGCACTAAGGAAATAGACACCTGGCTCGAATAGAAGCCTGTCTAATTAGCGCCTGTTGTGAATTAAGCAAATAAACGCCTGGGCTATTAATATACATTTTACAGTAGTCATTATGTTTTGTAGAAATGCACATTCACTCATACAGTACTTGTCCTCTATGTAGCTACATCTTCAAGAACAGTCCTGGAAACGGATGAGGAGTTCAAATCCATGACCGGAACCATACATTTGGGAAGGAAACTGATCTCGAAGTATAATCGACGAGAATTGACTGACAAACTACTCATCTTTCTAGCAGTAGCTTTGTTTTTAGCAACTGTCTTGTACATTTTGAAAAAAAGGCTGTTCCCATTCATTTAGAGGAAATTGTAAGCGATTGCCTGTTACTCATTTTCTTTTTCTTTATTACTCCCCAGAACTACGTCTGTAATGTCACTGCAGTCATGCTGCATTTCGAACCTTTCAATATGTCTTTCTTGCCCTACTACAGCCTTGTGCCCTACAGTCTTGTGCATGGCCATTTTGCATCTTCCCCAGACTGTCTACCTAACTGCCTCAGACTGACGTGTAGTATCTATCTATACCACAGAGGAATTACCTTGTTTAATGGTCGACTCAATGAGATGACATTGCACCGCAGATGTTGAGATGAGCGCGATGCAAGACTTTGCTCTCACACAAGAGTATCTGAGCATGTGCGCTTCACGCTGCTACATCGTGGTAGCTACGGGACCAAAACAGCAGAGAAGTTTAGCCTCGCGCTTCAACGCTCTTAGTTGAAAATGACCCACTGTGTTTACTTCGTGCATGCAATGTCATCTCGCTGAGTCTATCTTTTACTGGTAGGAATGCTTTCTTATTCCATTACCTTGCTTATTCTTACTGTACAGTATAGCTCAAATGTAGACCCAGGCGTTAGTCCATATAAGGAGGAAATGACAATGGTTACTGTGCATCTGAAACAGTATAATAAAGTTTGGAAGTAATGTCAGCAAATTGTTTTTGGATAGAAGTTTGGATAGGGCTAAACTCACCAAAGGAGAGTGTGTGTGATTTATTTTAGAATGCATTGTTTTAAATTCTAATGACCCAACTGATGCCGGGCAGGCGGGTTGTCTGCTTTGACGCCTCACTCAATTAGAACGTGTCTCTATTTTAACGTTTTATCGCTGGAGCTGTAGTCACACAAAACAATACAAATGTGGTAAATTATTCACTTTTGTGGAAGAGGTAGCTAAGGGTTGAGGCTTTACCATACATGCTAAATTAGACCAATTCATCAACTTGTGGAAACAACATCGCGATCAGCAAAGATGATTGGAGATATGGACTATCCTGCTAGCATACAGTCACTGCTCTGCCTGTCCTGTCCTTTCTTCCCGCCTCGCTCTACTCGCTCCACCTGCTTCTGGTGAGTTCTTCGCTTTAGTGTATAAAATAATCGACAGTTTACAGCATTTAAGTAGAAAAACAGTATTGAATAAACAACTATTTCCTATCTCTTTAATCATTGCTAGCTAGCTGAAATATCTTGCTTTCCTTCATACGACTTCGGAGATAGTCTGAATAGTCTTTCCTCCAATATGTGTTCTAAATTACCAGTAGATGGCAGTAAGCAACCAAGGTATTATGGCCAGATTTTGGTCTATGTACAGTTAATGTGATTTTGACAAATTAGACATGAGCTATTACCAAAGGTTATAATGACGAGACGGGACTCAATGCCCTAACAATGTAAATATATTTCCACAAAGGCGGAAGGCAGGCGGGAACATTCTAGCCAACCTGACATCGTATCAACCTAAACATTACAAAACGTATATTCGATCAAATTAGCTTCACATAGCAAATTAGAAATACTATTTAGACATTCTCCCATTGACATCCATACAAAAAATCCCTACTTCCACTTTATTTCCGCGCTGACAGATTTTTGGGCGGAGTCTGCCCTACCGCTTCACCTCTTCCTCTGGTATTACGATGTGGTTGACACTATACAACTTTTGCGCAATCATAGTTTTGTTGACTGCTCTGCTTACGTCAAATTGTGTGCGTCTCTGTGAGAAAATGTTATTTAAGTCAACTAGTCTCAACTCAATTAGACTTATCATTTGCACTCAAACCAACTAGTAGCATTTTATTCAATTGCTTATAAAATGATTGCAATCAATGCACTATCATTATTATAAAATTGCAACAAAGTATCAAATGTTTAATGTCCAAAAGTACAAAATAACTCATGAAACAAGCGATTTGTATAAAATGGTAGTTTGCTTGTATCAAGGCCTAATGTCATGCGTAGCTTAAGAAAAGCATTCAAAATAAATAAAAAAGGTTTAAATACTTAAAATACAGACATTGAATCAGAGTACAAACAAACTTCATAAGAAATAAGTTGCCTTTTCAAGTACAGACCTTCATTTTCCGGTAGGTAATAAGAGTACGGGAAGGAAATCATCCACTTCATTATATGTAGGTGGATAGTACTGACACACAAGTTGTGTTGAGGGCAGTTGATGCTCTTCCTACACATGTACAACTGGACATACCGAAGAAAATCCATATCATACAAGCCAACTGTACAAAATGAGTGTAAAACTGAATGTGCGAGATAGCTGAGTGTCCGTTGTATTCATACCAGTTCAATGTCCTCTGAATGTGTCCATCATAAAACATGTCGAGCTGGCATGGCTGGTGAGGGGTGAGGTAGGTTCCTTGGAGTACTAATGATGAAGTTAGAACAATCATTCATGATGTACTGTAGCTAGCTATTTGCATCAAAAGCTAGTATAAAGTTGAACTGTCAGTGGCAAAATGTTCTGACAAGACACTAGTCATCCTGTGACAAACACTTTGTTGAAAAATACATTATAGTAGACCGTATTTGAGACATACATATTATCAAAGACCTCAGTTAGTGAGAATAGTCTAAGGCCCACAACAATATTCTAACCAATAAGTTATGATGGGTCTCATTGTTTGGTAATGAGACCTGAGGTTTCCTGATGTTTGCCTTTCTGAGTGAACATGCATAACCATGTTGCAGAGTTGTTACTGTTGTGAGATTTGTTATGAGCTTTCCTGATTGTGGTAGGCCACTTGTTCATGGAGTTGTTACTTGTAATTAGTAATCATGCACAATGCATCATCTGTGCCAGAGATGGACTTCTCTTGACAGAGTTGATGTGCAATTACTGAGTTGAAAGAACGTAAGCCTGTCTTAGACATACAAATGAAAATAATCCTTGTGCGGTTCATGTTTGTGCTGCAAATCAAACTAGAAAAATGTTTCCGCAGAAACGTTGAGTGCTTGCAAAAACACTAATCTCTATACAAGCATTTTTTTTTTAGGTAGTGATAGTAGTATAAATTGGTAAAGCAAATGCAGTATTTAAAACTATTTTACAGAACGTAAAGCATAGTATCACAATAAAGAAATTATATTTACCTCATCTTCTGGATACCTAGAAATCTATGACCTGGAGTCAGCCATCCAAAATGTGGGTGTTTAAGTATATTAGGAAATTGTCTCTTAAAACTCTTAAGTTATAAATCGTAGTATCTAGAAAATCGATAGCTCACTGTCTCAATACATTGAGTGTGTACCAAGTTAGTGTCTAGCTAAAACTAGAATATTGCAGACACAATTTTGAGAAGAAATGGAAAACAACTTCCAACCTTCTGCAAGAGTCCTTGCTATAACAAGCACTCTTAAGTCTTTACTGAACTAATATTGATAATTGGATCTGTATAAAATGTTTATACTGTAAATTGGATATACCCATTATTTACTTTTAAAAGGAATCCAATTAAATTAATGCTATTTTACAATACAATATTTTGTATTGCACCTGTAATTAAAACAATCAAAAGGAACTACTACTACTAATACTGAAAAACAAGTGCATGGCCTCAAATCTACATTTGACCACATATACCCTGTCACCTTTCCAATTTAGGAGAGTATGAATGGAGGAGCATGGTACAGGGCCGTTACTCTTCCTTTCTGTCCTTGTTTGTAACCACACTGAGATCATCAGTAGTAGGGCTGTTTGAGGGGAAAGGGGGTTCGAGGTTAGGGGCTGCTCTGTTGCGTGTGTACATGCTAAAGACCTTGCACTCAGTGTTTCACCCCTGGACGGCGGTATTGGGTTCTTGACTGGCCACAGCGAGCCCAGGGTCTGTGGCGTTGTCCAGGGGCTCCTGACTGAGACTCACAGAGGGGTGGAGGCTCCCCCTGTCTAGCTGGCTTGTCTTGGGTTTCTCCTGTTCAGTGGCTGGGAGGAAGAGCTGTCCAGCAGGGGGCAGCGTGTTCCTTCCCTGCAGAGAGGCAGGAGGGACGGTGATGTGTTGGGGGTGGGAGCACAGGCTCAGGCTGCCACACAGGGCCCCCCAGTTCTGCTCACACTGCATCCTCACTCTCTGTGTCATGGCTGTCCTCACCTCCTCACCACAACCCAGCAGGATGTTCACCAGCTCCACATGAGGCCTGAGATTGGAGGAAGTGGAGGAGGACCAATTATATTTCTGAATGCAGACTACTACAGTAATTGAATTTCGGATCATTTGGAGTCTGGACTCTGGAAACATACTACACTGAGTTTAGTATGACATGGAAAAAGGCCTCATGCTCACCCTTTGGGGAAGAGGTCCTGGAAGTGGATCATCTCCACCATGACGTTGATGTTCTCCTGGACGGCGGAACAAAGGTTGTGTTTGACGTAGCACTCTCTCTGCAGCTGGAACACCATCTCCTTCACCGCCAGGCACTTCCTGCTCACACAGCTGAACCGGTGCCTCAGGCCGTGGGCCATGCACTTCAGGGCATCCTTGATGAAGGACTTCCCCTACAGAGTTCAACATAACAGCTGACACATCAGCTTAGGGCTGGCACAATAATTGTATAATCGTGTAACCTACAATTGTGGACAAAAACAGTTGTCATAATCGTTATAATACATTTTATTTTAGGAGGGGGGATTCAACTTTATTTTCAAGTAGCAGTTTTTCATTTTTACATGAAGATGGTAAAGTTGGTAATCATTTTACAAGCAGATAGGAGAACCCTTTGTTGCAGGTAGAGCCCTTTTTGGTCCAGGTAGAACCCTTTTGGGTTCCATGTAGAACCCTTTCTACAGCGGGTTCTACATGGAACCTAAAAGTTTTTTTCTTTTGGAACCCCTTTTTCTAAGAGTGGAGAGCATTTGTGGAATAGAGATACTGGCACTCTATGACAGCAGCACACTCCAGAAGGGTAGATCATAGGTATAGGAGAAGTGGAATACCTGGGAGTCAAACTTGCCGGCGTTGTGCAGAAATGTCATGCAGATCTCATGTAAGCCTCGTATTTCACAGGAGTTGTTGTTGAAGCACTCGAACATGCCACAGCCCACATCCCCAGCATTCACCAGACAGTGCTGGATCTCTGCTGATGTTGAGGGAGGGAACAGGTTACTTAACATGAGGGTGACACGAGGGAGGGAAGCATGTTAGTGGTCTCTTCAGAGGGGAACACTATTGGGGAACAATAGCTTTTTAATAATAATGCAACAGTCAATCTTGTGTCAATGTGCTGGTTCCTAGGGGATGATTTGAAAAGTCCTCCAAATCCCACTGTTGCTTTTTCAGTAAAGAATGATCCTGTTATGAAATATACAGCCAACTGTGGAGATGAACCATTTTAAATCTATGTGATCCTTAGTAGCCAACTAAGCAAATACTTGTACAATTGCTTAAGAAATTGCAATATTATAGGGTTAGACCAGTGTTGTCAGGACTTGTCCTGTTCGTTCTGCTGCCCTAGAGGAGACAAAAAAATGCATCCCTCCTATACCCCGCATAAACAAAAAACCACTGTTAATGACTAGGCACATGGAACGCTAGGACCATGATTTGCGAGTTTTTCACATTCCCGCGATCCTGCGTCCATGTGGCATTGCATTGATGATTGATTACATAAACCCAGGGCATTAAAAAAAGTTGTTGTTGTCAACATAATCCCGGTGGTGTGTGGCTGCGCCGGGGGGTTAGAACACTTTGCTGTCAGAGCTTGTGTTGGCATTTGAACCGGAATGTGCTAGGATAAGAGTTGGCCACTAGGAGCATTGAATTACAGTGAAGTGACAGAACTAGAGATCTCTGCGTACCTGCGTAGGACGACACTATAAAACCAAATTCGACCACAGGTCATTTCGGGGTCATAATTTTGTAAAAACTTTTTAATCCACAATGAAATAGTTTTATGTGGAATAGGCTAAGTGACCTAAGAAAACCTAAGCTAAAGTCACAAGGACATTTTGCAGACCATTTTATGACAACGTGTGTGAAACTCAGAAATAAAGCAGGGAATTTATTAGACTTTATCTGGTGAATGTATAATCCACATTCCTTTTCAGACATACAAGTATGAGGCAGTAACTATAGTCTACATACCTGTGTTTTGCAGTGAGAGTCGTCTTTTCTGCTGGTTCAATTGTTTCTCTTGAGGGGTTTCGTGAAGTTTGTTTGGATCTGTCGCCTTTACTTGCTGAAAGGCTATACAAAGAAAGACTGCTAAAGAAAATTTAAGTAGCATCTCCATTCGCACTATTAAACTCCAAAAAGAAAATAACATTTTGAAATTATTATTTTTTTGTATTAAATTAAACTACATGGATAACTTTCTAGTAGAGACGTGAATGGAAACGCGCATTAGTTTCGAGAGAGTATCGCGGGGGGATGGATGCTGCCTATATTTCCCTCAACTCTTGTGTCAGTTCTGATGAAGGAGCTAAACAGGTGCTGTCATTCGTGGCTGCCGACCAATCACATGTCAGGCATCCACGGCCAAAGTTTAAATGGCGTGCGTTCAATAAAAGTTTGCCATACTGTACTAAAGAATTGGAAGTATTGAAGTCAAAGGCTGTAATACATTTCATATTACAACAACGCAGTGATGAATTAATATAATAATGGTTTTTAATTATTCTATGTAAGACTACAAAGTAAGGGTAGGTTTTTCTTTATGTTCAGCTTCCCGAGTTGTTGGTTATATACATGGAGTGTAGTAATTACTGCTGTTGAGGTGGCATTTGAAAAGTACAGAATAAAATGTTGAAATGTAGTTTCTTGAAAAGAGTGTGCATGCACATACAAATGGATAACAAAGGTTTATGGACTACTAGGACACATGATATTGCCATTGCCTGAATGTATCAGGTGGTACAGGAAGAAAATGTCCCTTACCCCCAAAGAACCTAAGCACATGGTAAGAATGGTAAGTCAGTTACACTGAACTGATTGGATTATCACATCTAGCCTCAATTAACCAGGCAGCTAATGGGGGTGAGAGAATGTCAGTGTGCCGTGACAGCCAGTTTGGCGGTAGGCAGCTGCAAAGTAGTAGCCTTCATGAGGGACATGCTGGAGGGATCCGTTTTTCAATACCCCAGAAAAATGTCACTGTAGAAGTCATTTAGTTTTGAGTCTTTAAAGGAGACATAGTCATTGAGCGGGTGTGTACTGTGAAGTGGTGCTATTCAAAATAGTTGAGTGAAAGTCAGGAGCCTTAGTTCCCATAGCCCGGGCAGTGATTTGCGGGAAACATCCTGCTGTCATGCCTCAAGGTTACAACTGCATGAGAGGCATAGTACATACCATGGGAAACAAGAATGTGTCAAAGTGGCCTATAGTGCCAAAGGAACATGAGGTGAGAGAGAATCTGATGCCTTTACCAGGGCTCAGTGCCAAGCCAAACATATCCCCTGTCATCCTTATGTTACCACTGTGTGTCAGAGGCACACTTCAGGAGGCCATCAGCGTGTGCTGAAACTTGACTAATGTGGATAATATGCCACAATGAAGGTAAATCACAGCCTCCTTGTGTACTCAGAGCAAGCAACCGAGATATACAGTGCCTTCAGAAGGTATTCACACCCCTTGACTTTTTCCACATTTTGTTGTGTTATAAAGTGAGATTAAAATGGATTTACACCAACAAAAATACTCTGTCAGTGGCAGAAAAATAATAACATTTGTAGTTATTGTTCTGCTGAAAGGTGAATTAATCTCCCAGTATCTGGTGGAAAGCAGACTGAACCAGGTTTTCCTCTAGGATTTTGCCTGTGCTTAGCTGCATTCCGTTTTATTTTTTTATCCTGAAAAACGCCCCAGTCCTTAACAATTACAAGCATACCCATAACATGATTTAGCCACCACTATGCTTGAAAATATGGCGAATGGTACTCGGTAATGAGTTGTATTGGATTTGCCCCAAACATAACACTTTGTATTCAGGACAAAAAGTTAATTGCTTTGCAATTTTTCTTGCAGTATTAATTTAGTGCCTTGTTGCAAACAGGGTGCATGTTTTGGGTATATTTTTATTCTGTACAGGCTTCCTTCTTTTCACTCTGTCAATTAGGTTAGTATTGTGGAGTAACTACAATGTTGTTGATCCATCCTCAGTTTTCTCCTATCACAGCCATTAAACTGTTTTAAAGTCACCATTGGCCTCATGGTGAAATCCCTGAGCAGTTTCCTTATTTTCCGGCAACTGAGTTTCTGTATCTTTGTAGTGACTGGGTGTATTGATACACCATCCAAAGTGTAATTAATAACTTCACCATGCTGAAAGGGATATTCAATATCTGCTTTTTTTAACCTGTCTATCAATAGGTGCCCCTCTTTCCGAAGCATTGGAAAACCTTTCAGGTATTTGTGATTGCATCTATGTTTGAAATGCACTGCTCCACTGAGGGACCTTACAGATAATTGTATGTGTGGGTGTACAGAGATGAGGTAGTAATTCAAAAATCATGTTAAACACTATTATTGTACACAGTGCAATCTTATTATGTGAGTTGTTAAGCAAATCTTTACTAATTACCTTATTTAGGCTTCCCATAACAAAGGGGTTGAATACTTATTGACTCAAAACATTTCAGCTTTTTATTCTTTTTATTAATTAGGAACATTTTCTAAAAAATATAATTCCACTTTGACATCATAGGGTATTGTGTGTAGAGGCCAGTGACACATAAAATCTAAATCTATGTCAAGGGGTGTGAATATTTTCTGAAAGCACTGTACCTTGGTCCTCTGTAGCTCAGCTGGTAGAGCACGGCGCTTGTTATGCCAAGGTAGTGGGTTCGATCCCCAGGTCCACCCATACACAAAAAAAAATGTATGCACGCATGACTGTAAGTCGCTTTGGATAAAAGCATCTGCTAAATGGCATATTATTATTATTATTATTACCTTACTTGAGTGACAACTCATTCTCTTCTGGTACAGTTTAGAAATGTGTATATACAGTATATACTGAACAGAAATATAAAGGCAACATGTAAAGTGCTGGTCCCATGTTTCATGAGCTGAAATAAAAGATCCCAGAAATGTTCCATATGCACAAAAAGCTTATTTCTCTCAAATGTTGTGCACAAATTTGTCTACATCCCTGTTAGTGAGAATTTATCCTTTGCCAAGATAATCCATCCACCTGACAGGTGTGGCATATCAATAAGCTGATTAAACAGCAGCAGCATTACACAGGTGCACCTTGTGCTGGGGACTATAAAAGGCCACTCTAAAATGTGCAGTTTTGTCACACAACACAATGCCACAGATGACTCAAGTTTTGAGGGAGTGTGCAATTGGCATGCTGACTGCAGGAATGTTCACCAGAGCTGTTGCCAGATAATTTAATGTTAATTTCTCTACCATAAGCCACCTCCAACGTTGTTTTAGAGAATTTGGCAGTAAGTCCAACCGGCCTCTCAACCGTAGACCACTTGTAACCACGCCAGCCCAGGACCTCCACATCCGGCTTCTTCACCTGCGGGATCGTCTGAGACCAGCCACCCGGACAGCTGATGAAACTGTGGGTTTGCACAACCGAAGAATTTCTGCACAAACTGTCAGAAACCGTCTCAGGGAAGCTCATCTGTGTGCTCGTCGTCCTCACCAGGGTCTTGACCTGACAGCTGAAAATGCCCCAGTTCATCCATGGCCTGCATACTCACCAGAAATGTCACCCATTGAGCATGTTTAGGAGGCTCTGGATCGATGTGTACGACAGCGTGTTCCAGTTCCCGCCAATATTCAGCATCTTTGCACAGCCATTGAAGAGGAGTGGGACAACATTCAACAGGCCACAATCAACAGCTTGATCAACTCTATGCGAAGGAGATGTCATGCTGCACGTGGCAAATCGTGGTCACGCCAGATACTGACTGGTTTTCTGATACACGTCCCTACCTTTTTTAAAAAGGTATCTGTGACCAACACCAGATGCATATCTCTGTTCCCAGTCGTGAAATCCATAGATTAGGGCCTACTGACTGATTTCCTTACATGAACTGTAACTCAGTAAAATCGTTGCGTTTATATTTTTACATTCAGCAGACGCTTTCATCCAAAGCGACATAGTCATGCATGCATACATTTTAAGTATGGGTGGTCCCGGGAATCGAACCCACTATCCTGGCACTGCAAGCACAATGGTCTACCAGCTACTGAAGACCACAGAAATGCCCACAACTAACACCATCAACTGAGACGTCATAGATACATTTCAAAACAAATTTGTCTTTGCTTTCAGTAGAAAGGTGCTTAATATAAGATTATATTTAATTATTATTACTGGAAATCAGGGGGGGGGGAATCAAACCTAGGTCTGGTTGCAATGCTGACCCAACCCAGGCTAGCACCGTCCATCCATCTAACTGATATAGGATCTGCACTTGTTAACAGGGTCACACATAGATCGCTGGGTCATACTACCCCCGTCTCCCAGGAAACACAGCCATCTGCCTCCATTGCACCACTACTCCCAGAAGAATCAGCTACACCCATCTGTAAGCAAACAGGTGGAACGTATCCTTTTTGTGCAGCGCCAGATGTGTTAACTTTTCAGAGGCACCGGCACCTCAATTTACAAAGAAGAAAGCTAATCGTTGCCCAAGCCGTTCAGTCTTGGATTATCAATTACCTGAGGCAGTGGGGAGAGGTTTCCTATTACTCAAGTGATTCAGTATGCTCCTGTCAAAACCGCAGCTGAAATATTAGCCTGGTGGTCAGAGAAGGTGGAGGTCAGGGGAAGGTCACACAGAGAATAGAGTAGGACAAGCTGATGACATCAACACTGACCTCATCCAAATATAATTCTTGAAAAATGGAAGGGGGGATGGATTCCAAGAACCAGGAGAACTAAGTTAAATGGTATGGTGAATCACAGTGTTCTGTCAAATATTGCATATATTTAGGTTCCACATCATCCTGCATCCGTCATCCTATAATTGTGTAGAATAGATATTATAATAGTCCCCTGAGCCATAAAGTAGTTGGCCTGTGTTTGTTTTGAGAAGTCCAATTGGCTTAGTTAATATCATTAGCATTACTCCCAGCAGCCTGATAAGGAGAGGGGGGGGGTCTGAGGTTTATAAAGCATATCATTCACGGCTGTGTACTGCGGTCTGGGAATAATGATATACTTCCCTCAGTAATAACTGGGCCCTTGAGATGGCCCCAGTGTTTAGTTAGGCTAATATTCATGTTACAGAATGGGGGAGATCCAGTAATGGGATAAAATGAGAAGCTATCTGTCTCCCAGCAGAAGGCAAGTTCAGCAATGGGTTTCACCCTCTGTCCAAAGATGTATGTTCCTCCATGGCCAAATATGGTCAAATGTTATGGTGCTCTTACTTTATGGCCCTCTGAAATGGCTGTAAATGGTTTAGGGTTGAAAGAATTTCG